TCCTTCCTTCCTTCCTTCCTTCCTTCCTTCCTTCCTTCCTTCCTTCCCTTTGTAAGTTGTCTCAGTCTTTGATGCAGGACTGAAGGAATCCTCCCCTGAATATCAAAGCTCATCTTAGCTCAGTGGCTTGCAGAGGTAGAGAGTTAAACCTTCCAGCCAACTACACTGTAGCATAAATTATCTTTGCTGGGATTCTTTTACGGTTTATTTTATGGTTAGCTCTGATCTCTTTATGGGTGGGATTACTCTTTAAATTTATTTTGCCTTCCTTTTTTTTTTTTTTTCAAGAGACCCAGTATACAGCCCAGGTGGATCTTGAGCACACAAGTTTGGCTTTTCGGAAACTTCTAGATACTGTGTTCTCACAGTGATATAACCTATGTGGAAGGTGGGCAGGTGTATGCATGCAGACACAGTAAAACATGGCAGAGTAAATACAGTATCTTTGAAAAAGAAGTTAGTAAAAAGTGATTTAAAGAGATCACAAGGCTCTCTGCCCTGATATCATTCCCACAAACATTGCGCTGAGACTTGAGTGTGTTGAGCCCAACTGTAGATTTAAGAGAATATTGGCTATTAAGAGATACAAGCAGTGGTGGCAGCGAATGCCTATTATCCCAGTACTCCAGGAAGCAGAAGCAGGCAGATCTCTGTGGGATTGAGGCCATCCTGGTCTGCAGAGTCTAGCCAAAGCTACAGAGAGAAACTTTGTTTCAGAAAGAGAGAGAAACAGGAAGAGAAGCAGAGAGAGAGAGAGAGACATTTTGAACTGGGAGGTGACAAGAGAAAGGGCTACGTGATCCAATTCTAACCCAATTTTGTTATAAAGACAATAAAATCATGAGCTTTTATTTAAGAAAGAAAAAGGTCACAGGGACAGGATTGTTTGAATGACAGTTTTCCATTCTGCCCGCACATCTCTAGGCTTTAAGAGAGAAATCCGTTTTGCTAGGAATTAGATTGCAGTAGGCTTGAGTAGGCTACTCCTATCTCACAGCCTTCCCTGGACCAGTGGAAATGCATGTTCCTCCCCAAGAGTCAGCAAGCATCTTTCACTTCTGGCGCTTGGGCATTTTCATGGAATTCCAGCTACACTGAGTGCTAGGTGATTGTGTCTGGAAAAATCATCCCACTGTGGCATTAGGTTAGAAATAGAATTGACCTCCCTTTACTATACTTCAAAGTTTGATCCACAAGTTATTCATATTTAAATAAGTTTGTATGTTTGTACATAAAATTTATAAAATGAAATTATTTTAATTTGATTATTTTTGTTCTCAAGCACTGATCTATATAGAGAAAAAAATCTTAGTTATGACTCATCTTGACAGTCTTTCTCTTTTAAAGACTGTGTCTCAGCACATCCTCAGTTTCTGTGCTCTGAACATTCTTAGGCATTCCTAAGAAATTACTTTTGTCTTTCCTTTTTTATTTTTTTACTTCTTATGGAATCATTTAGAACCCGGTATTTTAAGTAATGTTGAATCATTAATACCTAATATTTTTACTCTTCATTTTCTAAAAGATATGTTCAAATCTTTGAATTGCCATTCTAAGGATAATGTATTTTACGATCTTAATTTATTACTTAAAATGCTACCTAGCGACTACCAACCACTCTATTTCCAGATTGATTGAACTCTTGGCTCTTTTCCTTGTAAGCCTGCAAAAATCACATGCTAAGGAGCCTGCTTGTCTCTGTAGTCACTGCGCATCACATACACTAAGTTCTCCTGCTCTGAAAGGGGCCCATGACAGAAAGCCAGCAAGTAGACGACATGAAGAAGTGAACACCATTAATCTACCTATTGTTCTTTCACTTAGGGAGAGAGACCGAGAATATTGTATTTCCACTGGTAGCCTAGGCATAGTACTGTGTTCATGTGCTACTTATGTGTTTACTATATTGACATCATGTTCTGACCAGGACATGTAATGAAGGGATGAAGCCAACGTATTCCAAGCCTTGCTGTTTGCACACTCTTCTTTGTCATAATTACTATCTTTACACTTCCTTAACTCTGTCGGGAGCATCTTCCTCCTCGTGGTTCGTACCTGAAGCCGGGTTTCACAGAGCATAGTGCTATAATTAGCACTCACGACATTTGTAGCTTGCAGAGTTCAGACTCAACCTGCTATTCCAGCCTCTCAAATTCCCCTAATCCTACTTCCCAAGACAACCCTGCTACCTAGCGTATTTTGATTCCCTCTACAATTTTTTTCATTTGACTGAATTAAAAATCATTGTAAAAGTTTGCCTTAACATGCTCTCAACGTGTTACTAAATTAAGATTAACTCTCAAGGATAAATTTTCAAGCAATTAGTTTTGGTTTTTAGCTGAGCAGAAAGAACACCCCACTTACAATGCCGAATAAAAACGATTTATATACTACCATAGTACGTTCCTTATAAAAATGTTAGGTCTGTAGCCGAGATTTGCTAATCAAATTCAGAATTTGATTTGAAATGCCTCCGGCAAAAGGCCAATCCAGTTATGAAAGAACAGAAGCAAAACCCGGGGCCTGGACGAACCTCCTCCAGAAGCTAGCTAAATCTTTTGCTCTCCTTAACAAAAGTGGTTCCAGAAATCACTGCAATTGCTCCTAAAATAGGATATCATAGCTAATTTTTTCAATAAATTATTGGACTGTCCAAGACACAAAACATGTACATTTTGGAATCTAGAGTTATAAAATATTCTGACATGTTTTAATATAAACAGGAACATTTCCAATGATTGCTTGGATCTAAAATGTTTTTCCACTTGACATTTGTTTATACTGCGTAGGAAAGAAACTCTATTTATGGATAACTGAATGACACAAATAAACACGGGAGAGGGCTGAAAAATCAGCTTTGATTGTGCGTGAAAGTCTACAATGCCATTGTGTACTCTTGTGCCGTATTCTGATTGCCTGTTTATTTTTACAGAACTGCTGGTGAGCCCATGGAAGAGGAGCCAGCCTTGTGAAGTGCCAAGTCTCCCCCGATATTTCCTGTGTGTGACATCATTGTGTATCCCCCCCACAACCCCAGCACCCTCAGACATGTCTGCAGCCTGGGTGGCACAGTTTGATGGAACATAAACACTGGGCACAAAATTCTGAACAGCAGCTTCACTTGTTCTTTGGATGGACTTGAAAGGGCATTACAGATTCCTGAAATGTAACCAGTGATTCTAAAGTTACAGTGACCAGGATTGGAAGAAACTGTTTCCAGCATGCTTTTATGCTGGTGACCCACTCCCAGATACAAAGTGTGAGCTAGCAACGTTCCACACCGCCTTGGATAGTGTTCAAGTGGATATGGCAGTCAGTGAAAATTTGGGCAAAACCTGAGACATATTCATTCCTGACATTCTGATCGTCGTCCTATTGTATTGTTTATTGTCAAATACTTAAATTGTTTACAGGACTTCTTCTAGCTATGAGTGGATGGGAATCACAGACGGATTACTTGGGGTAGGGGGTTACGGAGCTTTTTTTTATGTTATGTTATGTTTTGTTTTGTTTCATTTTGTTTTGATTTTTTTGCCTTTGTTCTAGCACACTTCTACCCCTCCTGGGAAGAGTTCAGGATGGACCTGGGGTATGGGGAAAAAAAAATCATACTGTATCGGACAATCCAAAAGGAACTTGCACGTTGTAGGCAATTTTTTTGTGTCAAATTTTGTTGGAATTTCACACTTGTCTCAAGTTCTCACAGGATATGAACTGGCAGTTTTGTCGGGTAATGCAGTCTCTCCACCCTCAGCAATGCCACCACAGGGACAGTGGCTTCTGGAGGTGCATCCCTTGGGAGGTGGACAGTCGCTGAAAAGCACGTAACCTCTCAAGGGCGGTAGTTTCTTCCAAATCTAAGACTCCTTCTCCCCCTTCCTTGCCCTGTCCTCCTGCTTCCTTTCCTCTCTTGCCTGGCATCCTTAAATCCCCATTACTCAAGGGATTTAAGCATTTTGTTTATTTTGTTTACTTTTCAAGTTAGCCCACTTTTATTATCTGATTCTACTGTGAAACTATTTCAGCACATATGGCTCAAACGATGCCCCCAAGTTTTCTAGGTCTCAGAAATGTGTCGGTGAGGATGTCTATGATCCCTTTGAAGGAGTTAAGCTAGGAGTTATGCCTTCACAAGAAAACTAACACAGAACTCAAACATTGCACAGGTAGCCTTTCTAGCAAAGGTTCGAAATAAAAGACATTTCTCTCCGAGATTAAAAACAGCTTAGTAAGTAAAATACAAGGGAGTTAGCTGCTGCCTCTGAAAACGGTATTTCAGTGTGTAACTCAAACACCTAAAGACAGTGAGGTAGAATACCTCACATATTTAATATCTGACAATGCTTTTGAACATTGATGTTTCTTTTTATATATTTTCCTAACTCAAAGGATATATTAAAGCCATAAGTGAAGATTGTCATGCTTTTATTCAGAAATCTGAAAGGAACCTTAATTAAAACAAGGTTTTAGGGGAGGCTGAGATATGAAAGACATGGGACAATGTGGTTTTAGTTAGGGAGGACTCCAACCTGTAAATCAAAGATGAAAGATCTCACTCACGTAGAATTACATAACTCCCCTTTGTTATACAGTCAGACCACATTTTTCATGCATTTGGTTTTTTTAGGATTACCATTTTAATTTTAAAGACTTTTATTACATATACAAAATGGCTCTGAACTAGGTTTAACATCTTAGAAATTTGAGACACCCTTTGAAATAAGAAATCTGAAATGGAATGTAACCTGGTATTAGGTAAAAATTATTTTCATTGCATAAGAGTTAAGTCAATCTAGACTCATAATTGTAATAAATTTCTTAGTAAATTCCATTTTCTTTATGTTTTAGAGAAATTCATGTCATTTACATTTGCAAGCTCTCTGTGTGTCTGTCTCTCTCTCTCCCTCTCTTAATTGGGGACATTTTCTTAAAGAAAACTAAGGGCTCACAATAGACCTTCTCACTTTAAACTGGAAAACAGTTATCATACTTCAAAAAAGGTACATTCTTGTGAAACTTTAAAATCAGCTTTAGAATTACACGTTCCTATTGTTACTCTTCAGTCCTGTTGGATCCTGAGACAAAACAAGGCAGCACAAATGCACTAACGTGACCTGGCCTCATAAGGTGACTTGTCACCCTCATGAAGACAAATCACTGGGACATCTATAGATTTTCAAAATGCATGAAAGGGTTAACCACACACTCCCTCCAGCCTTGTGCTGACATACCTAAGTGATTGCGATACAGAGCATTAGAACCCTGGGAGGGGCAGAGAGACTGTGGTGGGGACTGATCATGAGCTAAGCATAGTTGTTCAGAGGTGACACATTTGGTTACATATCCTCTTACCAGATCAAGGGCGTGCCCCAAAGGGCAGAATGAAAATTTCAGCATTCTTCTAAAACTGACCAGCATTTTTAAACCAATAGTTAAACTGGTATAGTTTTCCTCACCTACATGCTTAGGTTTCACTGTTCCCAATGGCCCCCAGTGGACACTAGTGAAGAAGCAATATGGCTGCTGAGTCTCATTCTGACCTGCCCTTTAAAAAGATGCCCGCAGGACCTCCATCACAGTCGAACAAAACTCACGCACAGTGAAATAAAATAATGATGTTTTGAGAAATATATGAGTAAATAATGCTGAGTTTAAATAACAGAAACAAAGAGAAATGTTGAAAATCAGTTTTGTGTTCTATATGGTTTGATGTTTTATTTTAGGCCGAATGAAGCATCCCTAGTAAGGAGTTAGCAAGTACAGACACCAATGATAATTTAGGCTTTGTTTTTACAGGAAAAACATTGGAAGAGAAATATTTTTTACATATTTTAGCAAATTTGTAATATCCAGATGGGAGAGAGAACTCAGATTTTGCAGATATTTGTTAAAAACAAACAAACAAAAAAACCAAAACTCAAATTTTCTTTCCACAGTCTTAGGAACAGAAACGGTTCCTTCAGTGTTGGCTATGACCCTCTGGGGGCATTTTCACTCATCTAACTGAAAACACAAATGGCCTTGAAAACGGGGCATCTCCTCCCACAGAGACTTCAAAAATTGTGAGACTAGTCTCTGCTAATGGACCAGACTTGTTTTATTTCTAGAGGTCGGTCACAAGGCTTTGTGAATTTACTGGGTATCTTTACAGACTCCATACGAGAGTAAACAAATGTGCTCCAGAGAATCTGCTGGAAGAAAAGCCCTCTTCATTCAGCGCTTTTAAGCTTTTTTACATTTTATTTCAGCATGTATTACTAAGGCACTTTATTAAAATACTTTATTTCTCATTTCAGAATCTCTCCTCTATTTTTCTCAATGAAAGCAGGTGTTAAAATCTAATCGTTCTCATTAAAACAAATCAGAATCAGCCATTCTGTCAAAGCGTGACATAGTCTTTTCTAGTCTTGTCTGTCTTAACATTCTTTTTCTGTCTTTGGAAATGAAATCATGTGCTTCCTGAGATAGATGGGGGGGACACAAATGACACACCTGTTGTGCTACTTCCATAAAGAGGGCATTTTCACCTCCAAATGTAGTAAAAAGTGGACTGTCTGAGATAGAGAACAAAGGCTCTCCAGGGTCGTCACAGCTGGCCATTGCTGTGGTCACACAGCACCAGCCCTTCTCTGTATCCCAAGGACACAATTATATTTTGGTCTCTGGTAGAAATCTGCACTATTTACTCCCCTTTGACAGAAATATTATAGAGGATTCCAATCGCTTCCTCAACACCATCACCAAAACATGTAAATGTCTATGCTGTGGCTCTGTTCTCTGGATGGATTTACGTAGGAAATCAAAGGCTTGTCTCCCAGAACTAACATCTTGTCTTTGCTTCTTACTTGAGGAAGTAGTGAGGGACGATGTGCTATCAGAGGATAAAAATTTTAAATGAACATGAGATATATGAATACACACACACACACACACACACACACACACACACATACACACACATTCGGGACTATTGAATTTTATTTCTCCAAACCAATGGCAATACATACAACCTATAACATTCCGACCTGCAATATATTAAGAAATTACTGTGTCCGTTATTAACAAATATTTTGTGAGTAACTCCATCAGAGAAATCTTAGACCATTGATCTGAGACTGATGGAACTTTATTTCAATGATAAGACATTAGAGTTGTTATCACTTCTCAAACTGTCTTGACTCTCAAACTAGAGCAGTTAGCAAATACATAATCCACTGTGCAGTGCCAATATTCCTAATCATATCCTTTCCTCCCTCTCCATTTCCCTTGCTTGCCTGCCAATACTAAGTTGGCATACCTAAACAATCAGAATAATCTCTGAGCTCTCTATGCTTTGTGTTTCCCAAGAAGAAACAACCCTTTAAGTTTTCCTTCTGAGACCTCACATGTCGTAGTTCTCTTCATGCACTTTATCTAAGTCCTAGTCTATACCTTGATGTGTTTTTACTTATTCCTTATCAAGAGACACCTGGCTTAGCTACCCTCACCTAAAAGGACACTTAAGCTAGGCTTTATTCTATACTTGGGGCTTGCCGCTTTCTTTTATTAATGGAGAATTTTATTTTTGTGTCAAATACAATTTCCACCATTTCTGCTACTATCCAATTGAGTAGTGTTGGTTCTCAGGCAGGGGAGATTGTGCACACACTCTCCATGCCCTTTGGGAGATGTTTTTGTGAGTCAAACCCAGAAGTACACCCGAAGTAAAAAAAAAAAAAAAGCAAAGGAGAAACTCAAGAACTCTATTTTTTGACAATAAAAATGCCTGACTTAAATAAGAAATAAAATCCTTTTAATTTTCTTATTTGGTCCTCAAGCATGTTAAGGGCATGTTACAATGCCACAGGTACTAAGTGAGGTCAATTGTTTTCAGGGATACTGTGATCTAGTCCCTCGACAGACACTGCCATAGGCTTTGCCCTTGCATGGAGATTGCTTTCTGTAACAAATGATAACGTTATTGTAGCAATGTCTTGATCGAGGCCGTTATTAACTTAACATTTAGTAGAACTGGAATAACAAAACAAATGTCAAAAGAATTAAAAGCTTTAAAATCTGAAGAGAAATTTTGCTTCCCTGTGTATGCAAAGATTATTTCAGAAATAAAAAAGTCCTTTCTCTCTTTTTAAATTGTAAGGTTTTCCAAG